TTTTAACATTTAATTTCATTTTTATGAAACAAAATTAAAATTTTAAAATGTTTTATGCGAAAAATTAAACAGCAATGAATGATTGATCGTTGTTAGCAATCATTTTGCCACATTCTTGAAAAAAAGTTCGGTTCATATATAAGTACGATACATGCTCTAATTAATTAATTAATTACTTTGCTATTTTTAATAAAGATGTATTTTTATTTTTTTCATCTTCGTTTATCTTTAAAACAAGCAAAATATAAATGCAATAAGTGTTATCATTTTACATCTTTTTTGTTTTTCTGAAAAAAAAAAAAATTAAATTCAGTTTAGTTTTATTTATAAATGTTATACTTTATTTTTACTCATCAATTTTTCTCAAAATCTTTTTTCATTTTATTCTTTAAACCAACATTTTCAATAATTTCTCAAATAGTTTTATCCTTTGTATATTCAAAAAAAAAAAAAAAACCTTTCCTATTACAAGTACATTTTTTTTTTCAATCCATTCGTTTTGTTGATTTCATTTCCGTTTTTCCGTTCTGATAGAAGCACTGAATAAAAATTGAAGAGGACATTCTTTAATCGATAGCAAATTTTTGAGGGACATTTATTTAGGTTCAATAAATAAGTGCTATTATTTTGATGCAAAAAGAGAGAGAGAGAGAGAAAAAAAAAAGAGAAAAACTAAAATTCACTCCAGAGATTTGTCAATTCCGCCAGAAAATACCATATATTAATGAATCATTATAAAGCACCCTTTTTTAGTCTAATAATTTTTATAGTAACTTTGTCTCTTCCTTTTCCTCTCTCTCTCTCTCTCTCTCTCTCTCCTTTAATTGTCTAAAAGACAAAAATAACAATTACAAATTGTTCGTTATTCATTATAAAATTATTTAAATAATTTCATTATGCTAATTTATTATCTCATTATCAAAGTAAATTTTTCCTCGTTTCTTTCCGTATGACTAAATCCTTCCATAAGAATGATTAATAAATATTAAGCATTTTTCTTTTTTCCTTTGTTTTTTTTATAAAATTATATTAAAATTGCTTAAAAAATACTTTTTTTTTTTAAATATTTAGTTGAAAAAAAAATTATAATAATTTAAAATAACAAAAATTGTAATTCTATTTGACAAATTCTGTTTGTATATTGAATGATTGTAGAACGATACATTGCTAACTATTTTGGTAATCTGTGTAATCTACTTCAAATGAAATGCATTTTATTGCAATTACAAAAAAAAAAAAAGGAAGGGAAAATGGATTGATCCGTTGCAAAAGAAAAGTACAACAACTTTTATTATTATTTATTTCTAAAGTTTATAAAGTTCATGTAATGTAAATGAACCATAATATTTTTACGGTTATATTATATAAATTTGCAATTCGTCATTATCATTATCATTACCACTAACACAATGTCATTATTATTGTTATTTAATTTTTATCATTATTATTTATTATTATTATTAATATTACTATTACGAATTACAAATTATTGTTATAAATTATTATTATCATTATTACTTCCAATCAACAAAACAACTTTACTTTTTTGCTTTTTATTTAAAAAAAAAAAAAAAACGAAATTTTAAAAAAATAATAATTTTTTTCTTTTTTTTTTTATATTTCGTTCTTACTTATACTTTCTTTTCATCAATTCATTTCTCTTGTCCTTTGCTTCTCTCTTTTTTTTTTTTATTTATTTTTTTCTCATTTGCCATTCCTTTTCATTTGACTACCCCTCATTCATCCAGTTTATTGCTATTTATAACATGTTTTGAGGAAGCACTGTGCGAATTGTTACGGCGGCATTTGTTGGTTAAACTTTTTTTTTTTCTGCTTTAAAGTGAAATATTTTTTTTTTTGCTTTTTTTCTTAAATGCCTAAAATTATGGAAGTTGAAGTGCACTTTGATAAGATTTCATTGATGACTGGTTTCGAAGAATCTTTGCAAACATTGCAATTTCTCGATTTTTTTTTTTTTGGTCTTTTTTATTCTTTTATTTTATTTATTTATTATTTTTTTTTTATTTTTTCCTTTAATCACCTTATCAAATTTCTTTTGTAATTTTCTTTTTTTTTTTTTTGGTTATTTGTTATAAAAATGTAACAGATAAAAGAGAAAATTTTGTTTGTTATTATGATTATTAATGTAAATTAGTTAGATATAAAATTTTAAATATTTTTTAAGTTAAAATCATTTAATTGTTCATTTGATGGTACTGTTTATCGTTTAATGCAAGAATGATTTACTTAAAAGCTTGTTTCATCATATGCTCTCTCTCCCTCTCTTCCCCTCCCTCCCTCTCCCTCTCTCTCTCTCTCTCTCTCTCTTAAACAAATTTCATCCATGAATGATATGATACGGTATTTGAGCGTGAATAAGGAAATTTTTTCCTTTCTTTCTTTCTTTTTTTTTTTTAAATTAATCTATTTCGTCTTAACCATCATTTAATACGATCAATCGGTCAGGAAGAAATCATTTGGTCATCAAGCGGTCATCTACAATGACAATAGACTGGTCACTTTGCTCAATAAAGAGAGGAATGGGAAATTTTTTGGGATAAGAACCTCTTAAGCGATATTTTGAAAAGGTCAAATGGAGTTCACAATATTTATTAACTTTTCAATATATGAAATTTTGATGCAGGGGAAAGAGAGAGAGAGAAAGGAAAGAGCAGAAGAAGAAAGAGTAAAACTTGTTTTTCTTCTTTTTTATTTGGTTTATTATGAAGTGGAAGAAATGTTAGAATAGTTAATAGTAAGTTAATAGCATAGTGGACAGTGGTAACTAAAAGTCTGGACAATAATTACAAGAAGAGACAGAAAGAAAGAGAGAAAGAGGGAGAGAGGGAGAGAAGGAGACAACGATGAAATATTTAAGAAGTTATTTGAACAAATTCAGTTGAGCAATCATCGATGGGTGACGCTGTTGACATTTCCTGATGAGATGTCCTTGAAGTACATGGAAACGTGTTTGCATTGGAATAATAGAATCAAAGCTGAGATTGTTTAGTTATCTAAGACAAAAGGCTAGAGAAAGAGAGAGAGGGAAGCAGAGGGAGGGACAGAGAGAGAGAGGGAGAGGCGAGGGAGGGAGGGAGGGAGAAAAAACAGTAAATTTGAATTGTAAGATAATAGAAGAGAGAAAGGGAAAAGAGAGTTAAAAGTACATTGCAAGTGCACCATACATACACACACATACATGCATGTACACACACATACATGCATGTACACACACATACACACACATACACACACACATACTCATATCGGCCCATTTTATTTTTATTAATCATTTTCTCAACAGAATTTCTTGTCTAAAGTAAATTTGAATTGAGAAAAGAATGAAAAGGAAGAGATGCATGAAAAAAAAAAATTATGATCTAATGAAATGATGATTTACTTCAACACAAGTCAATTCAACTGAACAGTTCATAACATAGCGATCTTAGATCATTCAGGAGGAATTATCACTATTATTAAACCATTGAATGTCTATGGATAGAAAACGATCATTGAATAGTATTGAAATAAAATGATCATTGATTCTTTTTTTCGTATCATCGAAAAAAAAGAAAAGAAGGTTTGTTGGACTTCTTGCATCATTTAGAATGATTATCAAATCCTTATCTATCACCACTGATAAATGATAAGAAAGAAAATTTCTGCATTACACTATTCAATTACCAAAATTACCATAGAAATATAATTGAAATAGGAAGAATTTAGGTAAAAAATTTTTTCACATCATCTCTTCTTTCACATCATTTTTGATGTTTCTTTTTTTTTTTCTTCTTTCTTTTTTTGATGAAATTTAAAATTTGCTCTTTTTCTCAATTCATTTTGCTCTTTGCTTTTATTGCTTGATTCTCGATATTTTACCATAAATAAAATTGGAATGAAAAGAAAGAAAAAAACAGAGGGAATAAACGATTTTGCTGTAAGTTTATACATATTTTGATCATCATCTATTCAAGGAAGCATGTGATGAATTAGGTTAAGAGAATTCAATGGTATGTTCCTGGAATTTCCTTCCTTCTTCTTTCTTCATTGCTTATTTTTTTTCAAGAATAAATTATTGTGTAATTTCTAAAGATTCTATAGCGAAAAATAACTTTGAAGTGACTTTCAATACAGCATTAATTGATTATAAATTTAATTATTGGAAATTTGAAAAAGCCACAAAATTACTTCGATTTATTATCGGTTAATGAAGTTATTTATCTCTTAAATAACTATCTTCAAAAATGACGAGAAATAGGAGAAGAATGAAGAAGAAGACGAAAAAAAGTAGAATATTTATATCGATATTTAGCAATTTGTTAGATTTCATCTCTTGACTTGATCAAGGTATTTCCATAAATGTTTATTTATCATTCAAAAATCTGTCAAGGTTGATTATAATTTTATGCGGGAGGAGGGGAAAGGAGGGAGGGAGGAGGGAAAAAAACGAAAAAATTTTACCCGAGAAATGGGTGTGAAAATGAATAAGTTCAAACTGTTAGATTGAAATCAATGAATTTTCAAATGAATATGATCCTTTTTATTGAAGGTAGTTGACGAAAAAATACTTTGCCCTTTAGAGAATTGATGAATATTTTTCCTCTACTCCTCCTTCCAATATATTTATCCTTGACTTAACCTTTTTCCGTTTTCTTTTTCTTTTTTTTTAACATCTTTCACACCTGGCTTTATCTTCTTTCCATTCCTACTTTCCAAATGTTTATCAGTTTATTACATTTTTATCATGCATTTTTTGTTTTCTTTTTTTGTTTACTTCACTTCGTAAGAATTCATATTGTGCCAATCTCAATTAACAAAACAATAGCATTTTAGGTGTATATATCGCAGAAGGAAAAAATGCAACAGCAAAAACTGAAATCAATTATTGTATTATGTTTGAATTTAATACATATTTACTAGTTTTTTTGTCGTCAAGTATTTACAACTGACAATAATAATTATTATTTAATCCTGAAAGGATTCATTTGGAGATCTTTTCAATGGCTGAACAAGAAGAACAACGACTGCGACAACAACAACAACAACAAGAGGAGGAAGCGGAGGAGGAGGTGAAGGAACAACAAGAACAAGTAAATAACCAAAGCCGTCTGCCAAGCGATTGGTTTTATTCGTCTGTTATGTTAACTAACCGTTTGGATATCGGTGAACATGCTAGCATTGATAGTTACCAAATGGATCATTTGGAACAAAATGATCAATCATCATTAACCTTTAACAATCTTCCGGATCCAGAATTTTTGCATATTTGTCGAAATGCTGATGCATCAAACGATATATACCCTAATATTGTGACTACTGCTTCATCATCCTCTTCTCCTTCCGTACAAAGGAAATCATCAATTCAGACTACCTGTCTAGAAACAACTATTCCGCATGACAAAATTATTCAAAATCGAGACATACTAATCAAAGATTCAATTAGTCCATCGAATATGAGTGATAGTGCTAGTTTTACTCATACAGTTGTCAGCAATCCGAATTTTCAAATGACCAATCAATCTAGCATGCATCATACCTTACAAATGCAATATCAAAATAAACGTAATCAGTGTGCTAATATGCGTAAATCACGTACAACATCAATCTGTAATAAGAAAGTTAGAAGTAGCAGTAGCAGAAAAAATGATAATATTCAGCTAGAAAGGGTCGAAAAAGTAGAAGTAGAAGATAGTGACGGCGGTGATGGTGGAGGAGCACCGCCCAATGTACTTTATTCGCACTCAACAACAAATAGCTCCGATAAAATGAAATGGAATTGTGGTGTGAGGTGGCCAACAGCAAAACGAACCGGAATGTTCACGTCATCTTATTCAGTGCATATTGATGCGCACGACAATTCAGGCACAACAGATGACGGTACAGCAACAGTAACGGATATTGCTGGTAGTGAGGAAGTGATAGAATCAACGATGATTGATATGGATTCGAAATTTGATGGAAATATTGGTGAAGTTATTCAAAAGATGGAGGTAAAGACAGTTTTTGATAGTGAAAGAACAAAAAATATTACTGTTTCAAAGGCACCAATGCAACAACTTCAATCTCAATCAAATTTAACGGATGCTACAGTCACCGTTACAGCAGTACGATCACCATCTTCATCATCATCATCATCATCAAAGACTGAATTGGATGAACAATCTTTATCACCAACAGCTTCACTTGAAGGTTTATCATTGCCATCCATAAAGGTACCAATCAAAAAACGACGCATACATAGTTCCCTTACACAAGTACCTTATAATAAAAGTGCAAAAACGACAAATACCTGTACGAACATTCCACTGAATACGTATGATACCTTTTCGGAGCATCATCAACATCTACCAACAACTATCGCTTCTGGTGCAACAGTCACAAGTACTGCTACAGAGAGTGCATTCTCGAGCTGCTACCAAATGGCAACAACAGGATCAACGGGTACCATGATCAATGAGGATCCTATGCCACCTGTAACTACTTGTCAGAAACTACCACTGACTGGTAATGATGTTTGCGGAAGTGTGCTGAATGATCAGGCCGTCAGGATTGTATCCAGCTTTGATCCATTACCTATAACAATGGCGAATAGCTTATCCGAAGCAGAAATCGTTAACTTATTATGTCGAAATCTTTGCGATATTGAACGTATTGTCGCACAGCAGCGGATTGCTTATTCCGCAGCATCGGCAGTCCATCTACCGTCACTACTACCACAAGCTAACGGTGAACAGAAATCACAGGTAAATTATACGGGTCCAATGATTGTACCAGATCATCAACAACCAGATCAGCAACAGCATCATCATCACCACTATCAGAATACTGCCGTAGAGCGACGACGGTCTGGTACTATAGATAGCAGCGATACTCGGCGGTTTCATCCATATGCGGCAGCAACAACAACAACAAGAGAAGTACCAGCAGCGGCTTGTTGTAGCAATAGTATAACCGTTTGGTCACCATCGATACCACCTCAAGCTGATCTCAAGCAAAAATATCTCCGTTCTCTAGCACCTGTGCTTTACGATTTGTTAACCGATGATTGCGAATCCAAGAATTGTCAAAAAAACACTGATTCGATGAATTGTTCAATTTTAAAAAGTTGTATGGAACCATCTATGGATTCCTATCTTCGATCTTTATCATTGTTAGCTGCAACTGCTAGTCTTCCGATTACTACTAATAACAAATTTGATCATTTACCATTTAATTATATTGACTATTTTACCCTTCAGCAATGTAGTTTATTACTTGGATCAGCACCAGTAACATCCACTGATTTGCTCAAATTGGCTCAATCAGCAAATCTTCTGTATAATGCCGCTGTAACCACACCAACAATTAATCCAGACACAATGTTATCCGATAAAATTCCGTTCACCAGCAAAATTGATCAGGTCAATTATTTTTCAAATTTCATTTGTTCTTCAAATTGCAAATATAATAAGCTAAAATTAACAGTTCAAAAAAAAAAAAAATGTATCCAATGATAATTAGAATTGCTGAGGAATAATTCAAAAATTTACTATAAAATTTATGCTGGATATCTCTGCATGTTTTGTAAATATTAAAAATTATTAATTCCAAAATTTTTTCCCCGTTATTATTCATTCAAATCTTTTGCATTGAAAGTTAGGTAGTCTCGAAAATAGGAAAGAATTTACGATTAACGACAATAGGGCATATAGGTCAATAATACATTTTGAAAACATTTCGTGCCACTTTTCAATAAATTTCAACAAAAAAAGGATAGCAAATTTTTTTTTTTTACATAATTAAAAACGTCCAAAAATGCTTTTAATTTCAAAAACTTAACATTATTTGGCTAATTTTTTTTTGTGGCATATTTTAGTCACTGCAATTTTTTTTTGTTTTTATAAATACATTCACAATTTACAGAATAGATTATTGAAATGTGACAGATTCAAACATAAAAAAATTTACAGCTGAAAAGAGAAACACGAACCATTAACTATATCTTTCCAAAAGTTTTTTCTTCGATCTTCAAATTTTCTCCCATAAAAATTCTGACAAGATTTTATAAATTATGAAAAATACAAGATGCACAAGTTATTTTGCGGTGACGTCAAATTAGTAATCTTAATCAATTGAGCGGGCGAAATGTAGAAGAAAAAAAAAGGAAGTGAAAGAAATTATGGTTTATCGGGTGTCGGATGACATTTGGGGTTATCTGTTGTTTGTTTACTTTTTATTTAATTGGTTATATTTTCAAAATAAAAAAAAAAAAATCAATTTCTTTGAATCACTCATTCCAATGAGAATTCAATATCCGATCATTCTTTTTTTTTTTTTTTTTTATTTACTTTTAATTTGAAATTAATCATAGAGAAATGTATTTTTATGCCCTGGACGACTTGAAATCAATGCTTCTAACTGAATGACATCTGTTACCTTTTTCTTTTATGTTCATTTCATTAATACCTCTTTTCTTCGTTTATCATCTTTTATCCATTTCAACCTTTAATGTTATTTTTATGATACTTATTTGAAATTCATTTTGACATTTTGACGTTTCTTCTTTTTTTTCTTTTTTTTTATCTTGATGATTGATTATAAAATATTTGCGCACAATCATCGAGTATCCTTCCAAAACCTTTCCTCTGTCTCTCTCTTTCTCTCCCTCTCTGAATAAATAATAGATTATTATTATGTAAGTATAGAAATGCACAATTTTTTAAATTTTATTTTAAGCCTAAAAGAATTGATGAAACTTTAAAATTCATTCATACAGCTCTTTTTCAAAAAAATGTTATTTTTGTTTAATTTCACGAGAAACTATTGACCTTAAAAATATGTTTATGTATATATATATAGTCTAGAAATTTTAATCAAATATTTATTGTTTATTTAGCCGAGCTTCTAATTGTTTTTGATTTTTTTTTTTTAATTTAACTATATTAACGAAGTATGAATGAAGTATCATAAATATCATAAATTCACTAATTCAATTGTCCAATATTATCATTAGCATTTATTATTCGTATAATTTCATGCTTCTTACATAAAACAAACAAAAAAAAAAAAAAAAACTTAAAAAATGAATAAAATGAAAAAATAACTTTCCCCTGGCGTAATGCCAGAACTTTTTTCTTTTTTTCTGAGCAAAGCAGTAATAATTACATGAGTATGCGTAAACATCATAAAGTATATCGCCCAAGGCCAAAGAATCTCATAAAAAATTTAATACAGTAATCCACAGCTTTGTTTATGGTTGAGTTGCACTTATTCTGTAAAGGCAAAAAAAAAAGGAAAGAAAAAAATAGAAAAACATATCGATCCTAGAAAATAGTACATTTCAATCAATTGAATCACTTCATATAAATAAATAATAAAAATTGAAATGCAAAAGAAATAAAGGATGAAAAACCAAAAAACGAAGAATGAATTTTTTTAAAAAAAAAAAAAACGGAAAAACGGAAAAAAAAAAGCATTTCATCTTACGATAAAAAGTTATTATTATAATTTTTAATTTATTTATCAGGAAATATAAATTGATTATTAATTGATTATTATTAATATATTTGAGTAAAAATATAATTATCTATTTTAATCCATCTTATATCTATTTATCTATCAATTTATTTATGTGCTTATTTGTTTCTTGATCTGATTTATCAATCTAACTATCCGTTATCTAATCTACCTACTTATTTATCAACTCATTTAACTTTCTTTTTTGATGAATTTTAAGATAAAGATGTACGTTTTATGCACTTTTTGTTATGTTCATTTGCTAAAGAAATAATATTGAGTGGAGTGTTTTTGGACATTAACCGGATGTACTTTTCATTGCATCACACTCATTTAATTTCCATTTCACTCTTCAAATCTCCCTTTCATCTTTCTTTTTCTCTCTTTACCTCTTTTCTTCTTTATCTTCAACATTTTACAGGGATAAAAAGTTTTTTTTTTTTTTTTTTTTTTAAAAAAACTTTTGTTATAACACCATTTTCCTCTCAATCGTCCACATTTTACCCTTATCATTTCCACTCCTTTTTTTTTTTTTTTTTTGCATTTTTTCATCCGAAAAATATTTCATTTTTTGCAAAAAAAAAAATGAGAGAAAAAGTAGAAACAGAGAGAGAGAGGGGGAGAGAAAAAAAAAGCATTGTCCTTTTCAAAAATAGAAATTTGCAAATTTCAAATTTATTCTGTTATATATCAAGGAAGAGAGAGAGAGGAGAGAGAGAGAGAGAGAAACTGCAATAATCAAACGAAGATGCATTGTTCTTTCATGTTTTGTATCAATTTAATATTTCATTTACACCTTTAAAAGGATGCAATAAATGAATAAATAAGATATACAGTTATATTTTATCTGAAAGAACTAACAAAGTGATAATAATGATAAAAAGACAAGATGAAAGAAATATAACCAACCGCAAGATATACAGTTTTTTTTAATCTTTGTTTTTAAAAAAAAAAAACGAAAGAAACAAAGAAAAGGCAGAAATGGTAATTTAACAGTTTAAAAATCATTCGCGTACTATGCTAACACTATGACAAAATGCTACTTAAAAAAAAAAGCATCGTATTAAAACTGATAGAATATTTTGTTAAAAAGAATTATCAGTAATAAACAGTAGAAAAATAAATGTCAAGTTCAAGATAAGGTCGTCTGTTTATTTATTTATACAAGTCATAAAGTTTAAATTTATTTCATTTGAATGTCTTTTTTTTTCTTCTTTATCTTTATTAAACATTAATGAAATTTTCGACAAAAACATCCTGCAAACAGAAAAAAAAAATTTTTTTAACGTTATTTTTATGGCTTTGCAATTATTCTTGGCTCGAACTAATCCTTTTTTACTTTCCTGAATGAAATTCTATTGGAAAAATTGTTAATGTCATTGTTTTTGTGTTCCTAAAAGTAAAAAAAAAATAACAGAAATAATAATAACAATAATAATAATAAATAATAGTAATAATGATGCTGATAGTGATAATAACAATAATCAAACTCGTATCATTAATCATTTTTTTCATCACTTAACAAATGGATTTTGCTAAAGCATATCGAATAGACTAATTTAAAAGCTAAAAAGAATTTGAAGTGCAAACTTCCCACATATATAAATTAATTAAGATTTAATTAGCATAAATCATCTGATAGTTGAGGTATTGGTCGATAGTAGGTAAAAAAAAAAAACCTTTCATCTGCTAAACAATCAGTCGTTTTCGGACTGTGATAAAATTATCTCAGAGGTGGTCCAATTATCATTTGATGCTGAACATTTATCATTTGATTACTAGAAATAGGAATAAAATTAAATGAGAGACAAATTTGTAATTCACTTTAATTTGGGGTGATTATGTCAAAGGTTGTGTGCATAAGATTTTTTTTTTTTCTTTTTAGCGGATGAAAATAAAAATAGGCATAAAAAACATCATTTCTTCGTTTTTTTTTTTCTTTTTAAGTAATATTACATTTAAAAATGGAAATTATTTTACATATTGCCCCGCTTATTTCATTTTATTTTATTTTATTTTATTTCATTTTATTTTTAAGCCATATAATAAAGTTATAACACATACACATTGTAGAAAATTCATAAATTTATGTAAAGTCTTTTTTTTTTTTTGAAAAACTAATTTTTTTTTATTTTAGACTTGCTATGAATAAATTTCATTAAATATATTTGACTGATTCTTTCCTTTTTTTTTACCAACAATTAAAACGAAATCATTTGAATATTTTGAATATGTATCTGTAATTGTATTAATATTACATAACAGTTGTAATGTTAATATCAGTAATCAGTTTTAAATCTTCATGATATAATTCAATAAAATCAGTAATCAATTTTAAATCTTCATGTTATAATCGTTCCAATAAAAGATGAAATGAATGGAATTTAAAAATTTTTACCAAGAATTCATCATTTTTACCATGAATTAAATTATGGATTAATCAAATTTTGACGATTATAGGATGAGATAATAAAGACAGAAAATTTTAATTTTTTTTTTTAGTATTATAATTAGTAACATAGTGATATATGAATTTTTTTCACATCAAAATACTCATTACTTCTCATATAATTTTCCTTTTTTAAATTTAAAAAAAAAAAGTGATTAATCGTTAAAGTAATCAGTTGATAACTTTTGCATTATGATATCAGATAATAATTATAATATCGAATACCAATTCTTTAGGATAGTAATTTGGCTATTCGTATTGAAAAATTCTTCACAAATTTCTTTAGCATTTATTTTATGAAATATGCAAAAGAATGTAAGCAAACATATCTTATCTTCATTATTTTTACTAATAAAATATGTGAGTGAAATAAAAGGAAAATGGAATTTGCTTTTAAATAAGCTTTTAACATTTTACGTCAATGAAATGATTCACGTCTATCTCTTCCATTTTTTTTTTTTTTTTTTTTTGCTAAATTCTGTCCGTACTTTGGGAAAAAAAAATTCAGTATTTATCAATGGATAAAATTTTTCATGCAATATTTAAACCAAAATTAATAATACTACTTTTTGAAATTTTCTTTCAATTTTCTTTTCCTTTTTATTAATTGCGTAAATTTGTAACATGAATTATTCGTAATTAATTGCCATCTATAGGTAGATGTGTTATTTTAAACTTTCATGAATAATTTAAAAATTAAAAATTTGCCTAAAGATACGAAATAGAATAATTACAACGCTTATAAACGAAGAATTTCTCATAGTTTTCATTTTTTTTTTCTTTCTTTCTTTTACTCTTTTTTTGTTAATATGTGTATGTAAATAGTGAAGGCAATTTTTTTTTAATTAAAAATGATAAAATCGGAGTAATATACTTATGTAGTTGAATAGAATTATTTATTTATTTATTTATTTATTCAGGTATTTGATAACATATAAATTAAATAACATTGGATACATTTGGAGAAAAACTTTTTTTTATTTTTAAAATTTATTCTTACATTTCCAAAAATAAAAAGAAAAAGTAAAAGTGAACAAAAGATGCAATAATGAATTTGTTAATTTTATTAGCATAGTATAAAACTTTTTATGATCCTTAAAAAGAAAAAAAAACGAAAGATTTTATTTTCCAGCATTCCGCTTCAAATTCCATCAACGGTTCGTATCCACAATCATCACAACAATCAACAATGCTTACTGTTGATAATGAACCATCATGTTGATAATGCAAATGTTACTTTTATCATTATTGTTATAAAGTAATATGGAAGGCAAAAACAAACAAACAAATGATATGATTAGTTGAATAAATGAATGAAAGAATGGATGTAAAAAAGAGGCAAATGATGGTAATGAATATTGATGATAATGATAATGAAGATGATAGGAACTAGAATGATGAAAATTTTTTCAGTAATTTTGAATGATATAAAATGAATGTAATGAAAATTACTTAATATATAATTTATTATTGTTCATGCATTTATTTGTCAATAATACTACGCATCCATTTATTATTGTATGTCTTCCAGGGAAAAAAAAAGCAAAAAGAAGAAGAACAAAAAGTTGAATATAAGGTATTAGTTTCGACAAAAAAAAAAAACGATGTCATTTTTTGCAATTATTTAAAAAAAAAGAAATTAATCAAAACAATTATATGCATGAATTTTTATGTTAGATATTACAAAAAAAATGAAAAAAAAAAAAAGGAGATCTTAATACTGCAAAACTAAAAAATGATATTTAATATTGGATCAAATTTTAGGATTAGACCAATTATACATATTTAATATGAAATAATGAGAAGTTATTATTTGAATGAAATTAGATTTTATTATGGATTTTATCACTACGTCACTATCAAATTATGCATGTGAAATTGCAGGTTACATTTGAACAATGAAACATCTGTTTATTGTTTATAATTTGCAATTATTTAGAAATTGGATAATCATTGATTATATTCTGATATAAACGAAGTAAATGTGTGAAATATTTAGTATTCGCTGAAATTTCTGCAACAATGATTTTTTTCTCAGTAATTTAATTTATATATTATATAATTTGAAAAGAAAAAGAAATTTTTTTTTTTTGTTTTTTCTTTCTTTTGCTTTGAAAGATATAATTATGATAACTTATCCAACTAAATGTTAGTAATTTGTTAACAAGTAAACAGAAAAAAAAAAGAGGAAAATCATGAATAATAGGTTGACAAAAGAGAAAAAAAAAAGAAAGAAAATCTGTGTCAATTCATAATTATGTGGGAAGCAAAAAAAAAAGAAAAATTTCCACTATAAGTTAACCATATATTAAATTGATAATGAAGGTTAGACTACAAAAAAAAAGTGTGAAATTTTATAAAAATTATTATGTAAGAAATATTGTCATCTTATTTTCCACTCAATATAATTGCTATAGCCGTGTGATTATTCACGTAAAAATAACGTGAAGTGAATTTAAAAAAAAAAAAAAAAAAACTCAATTAACTAATAAAATAGTCAAACAAAAGAAAAAAAAAGAAAACAAAAAACAAACAATGTTGTTATGGTAATAAATATGAAAATTTTGAAGAAACATTATTGGATGTGTTAATTGATTTTGTTGTATTATTTTGTATATATATTTAATTTATATGTTTTGTTATTTATTTGATATGCTACCAATGTATAAATTAAATTTTAAGTAACAAATCATGTTTTTTTTTTTTTTTTTGTTTCGAAACATATATTTTTTTTATTTTTATTGCAATAAATTATTCTTTTTTCATTGATGTCTTTACAAGAATTATATATATATATGTAGAGAGGGAGAGAGAGAGAGAGACAGGAAAAAAATAAATAAATAATTAAGAAAATGTCATTAATAATCCATCATCATGATTTTAATACGAAATTTATTAAAAATTGAAAATGTATAATAAATATTAATTTGTTTATTATCAAATTGATTGTTTACTTCAAGAAAGTTTTAAAAATAAATTCATAAAAATTTGATCAGTATAATTTTACTGTTTCTATCAGCAAAATCATAAAAAAAATGCAAATACTAAATAGTGCAAGAGAGAAAAATGAAGAAAAAACAAAAAACTAAAAAAACTTTGAATTGATTCTCAAACATGATACCAACTTTGAGTATTTCCGATTTGGATTGAAAACCGGATTTATTTATAGTGTAACATTAGCAAAAAGAAAATTAAAAAAGAAGGAAACTACCACTTTAATTTGCAGAAGTTTTGAAACCAGAACTAAAAATGTTTGCAGTTCTAAAATTTGAAAGAATTTTGAATTAAAATATTTTAAATTAGAAGATTCCTTTTTTTGTTTTTTTGTTTTTTTAAGAATGCAACATAAATAATATTAGTAAAAGTAAAAACTATTATAACGACGAATAAAAAATAATTTTTTTTTTTAAACTTATGAGAAAAAAAAATATTCTTCAGGCAAAAAACTGCAAAAAGAAAAATAAAAGAACTTTATTGAAACCAATATTTTCCAAATATCTGCGTTTTTTTTTTTTTCATCGTCTTATCAATATGTATTAATTTTTAAGTTTTCAAATCTAAATTTATAGTTGACAACAAAACGAAAACAGAAATAATTTTATCATTAAAGTATAATATTAATCATGAAAAGACACTGAATAAAGTGAAATATAATGAATCAAAAATTAATTAGTGCTTATTACTTTTCCATGTTTTCTCTATCCTTTTATCTCTTCTTTTTCTTTTTAAAATATTTAACTATTTAACGAAAAAAAAAAAAAAAAAACAAAATACTGCTTTCAATTTTCTACCATTTCAGTTTACTCTAATTAGTTGCACTAAATAAACCTAACATTATAATCTTTTTTCAAAACCACTTCAATATTATGTGTTTGTCCTATTTTTTCTTCGCCTTACTTTAATAAATTTCTAATTTTTTAATAAAATATCGAATACTAAATAATGAATAAATCATTCAAAAATAGTGAAAAAAAAAAATTTATCATATGGAAATAAATTAATTCCTTTTTAAAAATGTAGTTGATAGAAAAATTTTAATTATTATAAATGGAGATACATACAAAATATATTTTAAGAATTAATTAATAAAAATAATGTATAATTGAATAATAATCAAAAATCATTTGCGCCATTTACATTTGCACGCGCAGTTGGCGTAAAATATTTTCATATCTTTATTAAATTTATTTGTCTTTTTCTTTTTTTTTTCTCTTATACCAAAAAGAAAAAAGAAAACTTTTCTCTATTTCATTTTGCCTTCACTTAATTTTATCAAAAAAAAAAAGGAAAAAGAAATTAGTGAAAGAAAAATTTTTAGATATTAAAATGCATCCACAAAATTTCTAAAAAACTACGATAATATTTGAGAGAAATGTAATTCAACAAATTTATTGTATATTTGTATGATTATTTATTTAGATTTATATTTAAATTAAATTGAAAGTTGATGTGTTTGTAACAATGATATGAAAAGAAGAAAAAGAGATATTTGTTTTTAAAAAAATATTCCAATTTCGTTTTAGTTCATTTTTATTTTTTTTCCCCCACTACTTTTTTTTCCTTTTCACAAGTAATTTTTTTCCAAATTTACACTACTTTTTATGAGAAATAAAGTGATAAAACAAAAACAAAAGCAAAAACAATTAGTTAGATGTAAATTACATTTTAATCATTTCTTTCTTTTATTATTTTGTTTTTAAAATTTATGGAGAACTTTCTGTGTGAGTGATTTTTCAACATATATAAAAAGTGGAAATTTACTTGTCCATTTTTTCCTCTTTTTTTTTTAAATATTAAAATTTAAATGTTTCCAATTAATTTCATCCAATTATTTATACATATTTTTGCATTGTTTGAATATGTAATAAAATAAACAAATTTTGAAATACTAAATTGAAAATAAAAAAATTGAACAATTCTTATTAAAATAAAGTAAAAATTAATCAAGTGGTAATTAATGGAATTAAAAAAAAAAACTGAAAAATAATTTATGTATTGAGGATAAGAGAGATGACAAAGATTTTAAATCATTATATACGTCTATTAGTATTAGTATTAAAATTACATTTTTACAATTTTTTTTTTTGTAAACAATCATATTATTTTTTTATATTCATATTAATAACATAATTTCATTGCTAGAAATTCGTTGAAAAATTAGTTTTGTTAATGTGATGATTTCCAATATCGATTATTTTTTAAACTATTAATTCTAATTATGTTTATTGATTGTGAAGAGTGAAGAGAATTTATTGCTGAAAATGCCAATTTTTTTACTCAACTAAATAATCTCATTCAAGTAAACAATACTAAATTGTATTTTGAATAACATTCACAAATCATTATCAAACCATTATCATAACAATTTTATCAGTTAGCATATTTGTAGATAAATATTAAAATCCAGAAATGATACCCTTTTTTTTTTTTTTTTTTTTCATAAACAACCTTATTCAAAGTTCATTTTCTTTTCTTTCTCTTTTTCCTCTTCTTCTTCCTCTTCTCCTTCTCTCCCTTTCTCATTTTCCTCTCTTCTCTTTATATTGTCCTCAAAAAGTTTTAACTCTTTCTATTTCTTTTTCAATCAACTTTCTTCTTAGTTTATTTGCAAGAAAAAAAAAAAAAAAAACCACTTTAATATATGCCTTGAAAATTAGCAAATTTTTCGTTTTTTTTATTCTTTCACTGTTATTCATTGCAACCGATATTTCCTGAATAATGCACTTTTTTTCTTTTTTTTTTTGTTTTTTGTTTTTTTTTTGTTTTTTTCTTCAAGTTTAGTCTAAAGTATTATATACAAAAAAAGGGAAAAAAATATATCTTTTTTTTTTTCAAATAGTTAAATTTTATTTTAAATTATATTTAATCCAAGATTAATTCATATTAACAATGCAATTTAGAGTAATATGTATGTTCGTTTTTTTCCTTGCAAAATCAGTTGTAATTTGATAAATTAAACATCATTTATGCATTTTTATAAAAATTTGAAATGAATTAAATTTAATCGAAAAATTTCCCTCAACAAATTATTTTATCTTATTGTACTTACAAATTAATAATTTATAAATATGAAAGATTAAATTTATAGGAACTGTTTGAAAAAATAAAATTAATAAATGCTTAAATAAAAAAAAAAAAAAAAAAAGAGAAAATAAAACGAAACGAAAATAAAACTAATAATAGGATGATAGGTTAAGAAAAAAAAAAATTTGTAGTTACATT